TCACCACTACTCGGAGGTGCTCGTCTCGGGGAGCAGGTCAGGGTGGGTTTTCAGATGCTCAGCTGTGCTTTAAGGTTTTCGGCACAGAACATGTATCGTAAAATACTGTGCTAATTTTTATTAACTTTATTTCCTTATGCAGGTGTAAGTCCTAAATTATACTCACTTGCAAAATTTTTCTTTGTTTTTCATTACTGATCTAGTACTTTTATATATATACTGGGGTGCAGTTAATTACTTTTGTGTGTGGCCTGTCTGGCCATGGTTTTGTAAACTCCCACCCAGGTGATTGGACAGGACTGTGTGATGGGATAATTGTGGCCTACTGAGAAGATGGGTCAGTTTTGCCTTAGAAGAGAGCCAGTTCCGGAGCAGAGAGGAGGATCCTACTACCACCAAGAAGAACAGCCAGGAGTGGAGAGCGCGTCCTTTGGACCCGAGATTCGCGCACTGAGAAGCTTCTGGAAGCAGGATACCAGGAGAGCTGTGTGACCTCTAAGATGATGAGAAGCAGTGGCAGCAGAGACCCGGAAGCAGGAGATGGCGCGGTGGGCTTCCCTCCCACGGAGAGAGAAAGCTGAGCGCCTTTGGGCAGAAGCCTAGGGCCAGGGAGAGGCGTACCTGCGAGCACAGCCGGGGAGAGGTATCCTAATGGAAGAACTGTATGCTGAGTGTTCCTGAGCCTGAATTGTAACTGTTACTTCCCTAATAAACCCCATAACTGTGAGTATGGTCTGTGAGTTCTGTGTTGCCAGTGCAATGAATTGTCAGACCCAGTAGAGAGTGCTGTGTGAGGGACGGTTGGTGTCAGAATTAGTAAAGATGGCAGAGAAAGGAGGCATCTCTGACTTCTGCCTCATGGGACTCACCCTTGAGCTGTTGATTTTGGTTGTCCTTTCGCCTTATTTTATTTATTTTGTTGTTGTTATTGTTGAGAATATACACAGCAAAACATACACCAATTCAACAGTTCTACATGTACAGTTCAGTGTCGTTGATTACATTCTTCGGGTTGTAGAACCATTCTTACCCTCCTTTTCTGAGTTGTTCCTTCCCCACTGACATAAACTCAGTGCCCCCTAAGGTTCCTGTCTAATCTTTTGAGTTGCTGTTGTCAGTTTAATCCCATATAGATAGATCTTAAAAAAGCATAATGCTCAAGGCAGATGTTCTTTACTAATTAAGCTAAAACCCAAAGTTTAAGAAGACTTCAGGGGATATTTTTGGTTTAAGGTTTAAAGATTATCTCAGGGCAATAGTTTGGGGAGTTCATCCAGCTTCCATGACTCCAGAAAGTCTGCGTTCCATGAGAACTTGAAATTCTGTTGTGCGTTTTTCCCCTTTTGATCAGGATTCTTCTATAGAATCTTTGAACTGATGTAGTACTATTAAAGTAGATTTCATGACTGACAGATTGTATATCTAATATAATAGGTAATCTTTCAGTATGGATTACACATCAACATAAAACAAAAATCCTCACAGCTAGACCAGTAAGTAACTTCATGATAAATGGAAAAACATTGAAGTCAAAGATTTTATTTTACTTGGCTCCACAGTCAATGCCCATGGAGGCAGCAGTCAAGAAATCAGATGACGTATTGTAGTGGCCAAATCTGCCACAAAAGACCTCTTTAAAGTGTTAAAAAGCAAAAATGTCACCTTGAAGACTAAGGTGCCCCGGACCCAAGCTGTGGTGTTTTCAATTACCTCATATGCATATGAAAGCTGGGCAGTGAATCAGGAAGAGCGAAGAAGAATTGACGCCTTTGAATTATGGTATTGGCGAAGAGTATTGAATATACCATGGACTGCCAGAAGAATGAACAAATATGTCTTGGAATAAATACGGCCAGGATGCTTCTTAGAAGGGAGGATGGCAAGACTCCGTCTCACATACTAGGGACGAGTTCCTAAAGAAGGACATTGTGCTTGGTAAAGTAGAGGGTCAGCAAAAAAGAGGAAGACCCTCAACGAGATGGATTGACACAGTGGCTGCAACAGTGGGCTCAAGCATAGCAGCTATTGTGAGGATGGCGCAGGACCGAGCAGTGTTTTGTTCTGTTGTACATGGGGTCACTATGAGTTGGAACTGACTCGACGGCACCTAACAATGACGGCAACAAAAAATCTATCTTAGAGAGCCCACAGAAATTATTATTGCATAGTTGCCTCGAGAAATTATTGTTTTTATTAGTACCAGTGTGATGTGTTCAGCTTTTTTTCTTCTTAATTTGATTGACAGCGTATCTACTCAGAGCACTCTGGACATATTAAAATGAAATTTTATAATCATAACTGCGAGTTGTCTTTTTTTTTAATTTTGTTTTATTTTTTGTACTTTAGGTGAAAGTTTACAGCTCAAGTTAATCTCTCATACAAAATTTTATACACATATTTTCATGCGATGCTAGTTGCAGTCCCTACAATGTGACAGCACACTCCCTATTTCCACCCTGGGTTTCCCATGTCCATCCAACCAGCTCCTGTCCCTTCCTGCCTTCTCATCCTGCCTCCAGACAGGAGCCGCCCATTTGGTCTCGTGTATCTGCTTGAACTAAGAAGTACACTCTTCACAAGTATTATTTTATGTTTTATAGTCCAGTCTAATCTTTGTCCGAAGAGTGGTCTTCCGGAATGATTTTAGTCCTGGGTTAACATAGTGTCCAGGGCCATGGCTTCGGGGATCCTCCAGTCTCAGTCAGACCCATTAAGTCTGGTCTTCTTACTAGAATTTGAGTTCTGTACCCCACTTTTCTCCTGCTCCATCAAGGACTCTCTTTTGTATTCTCTGTGAGGGCGGTCATTGGTGGTAGCCGGGCACCATGTAGGTCTTCTGGTCTCAGGCTGATGTAGTCTCTGGTTTATGTGGCCGTTTCTGTCTCTTGGGCTCATATTTTCCTTGTGTCTTTGATGTTCTTCATTCTCCTTTACTCCAGGTGGTTGGGACCAATTGATGCATCTTAGATGGCCACTCGCAAGCCTTTAAGACCCCAAATGCCACTCACCAAAGTAGGATGGCAGAACATTTTCTTAATAAACTTCGTTATGCCAGTGGACCTAGATGTCCCCCGAAACCATGGTCCCCAGACCCTAGACCCAGCTCCTCTGTCCCTTGAAGTGTTTGGTTGTGTTCAGGAAACTTCCTAGCTTTTGGTTTAGTCCAGTTGTGCTGACTTCCCCTGTATCGTGTATTGTTCTTCTCTTCACCCAAGATGTTTTTTGTCTACTTCTAGTTAGTGAATAACCCTCACCCTCCCTCCCCACCCTCGTAATCATCAAAGAATGTTTTCTTCTGTGTGTAGACCTTTTCGTGAGTTCTTATAATAGTGGTCTCATACAGTATTTGTCCTTTTGTGACTGACCAATTAAACTCAGCATAATGCCCTCCAGATTCATCCAAGTTGTGAGATGTTTCACAGATTCTTCATTGTTCTTGTTGAGTTGTCTGCTTCTGAGATGTGTTACTGGGTTTGGGTTACTCGAAGAGCCATGCCAGCACAGACGGGGTGCACACTGTCCTGCAGAGCGCCTGCGGTGGCGCTGCCTGGCACACGGCCTTGTGAGGACGGGTGTGTGTTTCTGACGCAGCTTCAGTGCGTTCACTTCCCGGTGGCTTTGATAGCACACGTTAGTGGTTCACCTCCCGCTTTATTCCCAGTTGGGGGAGAAGTGATCGTGGAAGACGGTGCTGTTCTGCTTAGTTTTGCTTCTTTGGCTGACTTGACTTTCTTTCAGAAATGAGATGACTGGATGTGGAGAACTGGCTCGGCAGGTGCATTTTGATTTGATTCGGCCCTTGGTTTGGAGCTGTGACCTGCCGCGCTTCTCTGGGCGATGGCCGTGGACCCCACTGACCAGTCTGCCCTAGCAAGTCAGGGGGCAGTGTGCCCCGTCGACAGGGAGCTGGGGAGCCCTTCCCAAGCCTCAGTGTCGGCCCTGGCCCCTGGGCAGGGAGATGCTCAGGACCTTCGTCCCGAGACTGGGGGTCACTGATATTTTCTTTCCTGTATGATTTCCGCTTTTATATTTCAATTCTTCATCCACTTGCAATGTATTTTGGAATATAGAATGCATTTTGAAATAGTCTCTTGTCCTAATGCCATTTACTGACTAAGCTTTTACTCACTGACTTGAAATACCTTTCTATTGTATATCCTTACGTACACTAGAATCTTATATTCTGGTGCCTTCTGGTGTGTCTTCTTGGTTTGTCTTTATGTTGGACTCAGTATCAGTGTTTCCCTGTTAGTTTTATCCAGGTAATAATACATGCAGGTAAACTCAGCACGTAACTGTTTATTGTGGCATAGGGTGATCTCCTACCTTGTTCACCCCACTCCCCTCACACACACCCCCCATGGCAGCTCTTTCGACTGTTGTTGACACCCCTGTATTGCTCAATAGCGTGCGATAATGCTTTTTTTTTTTTTATTATTTTAGACAGCTATGACTTGCAGTATTCTAGAAGGCTTGACTTCTGCACTGCCATTTCTTCCACTTTTCATCTTTCACGTCCAGAATGTAGTTTTGTTTAAATCCATTTAGAAATCGTTTTAAGATAACGTTCTTGTTATCTCAGTGTTCATTAATTGATGCTTATGGAAATCATAGTCAGAGCTGAGCATCACAGTAGACTGCAGTTATTAGCCGTTGGCTTTTCCTGAAGTGAAGAATTGCTTTTTGCCTTTCTTTCATTTGTAACCTCCCCTCCGTACTGCTGGCTGAGTCTTCTTGAAGGGCGGCTTCCCACCGGGTCAGCCTCACCAGGAACTCTGACCTTAACCTTCTTCCTGCAGATCTGTGCCCCCCGCGCCTCGAGGACTTGGGGGCAGTTGGCACCATTGGTGTTGAGTGTGGGCTCTTGTTGCCACTCTAGCTGTTAACACGTTTTTGTTGGTATATCAGAAACTTATGGATGTTTAAATGTAAGAACATGTGTTCGTGTTGATGACTGTCAGCATGGCTGTACCGGTTGCTTTCCTTGACCATCCTCCAAGCCACGTGTACAACTACTGTACGAGCGTGCACCAGTCAAACCAGGCTAGGGGGGCCGGCGTCCCTCCCTCCAAGTCGAAGAAGGGACAGACGCCTGGAGGAGCCCAGTTTGTTGGCTTGGAACTGTACAAACGGCTTAAGGAGTTTTTGAAGAATTACTTGACAAATCTTCTTAAGGTAAGATTTTTTACAGTATGCTGAGCATTTATAATAGAATAAACCAGAGAAGTAATGACTCTTAGCGAGAACGCCAAGCCCCCGGGTCGTCTGTCGGCTATTGTGGGCACTGGCAGGGGCATGAAGGTGGCTGGGTCGTTTCAGCGTTTACCCATCGCCAAGGTGAACTCTTATAAAACATCATCTGTTTTTAAAACTCGTTAAATTGGAAGTTTTGGATCTCTACCCCATAACAGTACTTTCCTTAAATTATTGACCATGTTGTATTTGGTTGTTAGAAATTGATGAGCTTTTTAATTTAAAGCATGCGATTGTGTATTGAAGTCTTCTGTGTTTTATTTCTAAAACAGTGTGTTGTTTTGCATCGGAATGCCTAAATGTTTGTTAGGTCATCTAACAGTTTGTGCTCTGAAAGTTCCAAGCACTTCATGAGCATACGTGCGTATTTAATGCCACGAAAACAGTTCGTTTAATTTGAGATGAAAAGATTTTCATTAAAATCCTGTCTTTAGTCTAATGTTCCCTAGCTGTATTCTTGTGAGAATTTATATTAACTAGCATTTTTTTTGTTTACAAAATAGTTTTAAAAACTCGCCAAAACCATATGCCTCGATGTATTTTAATGAAATGGATTTGGGTTTTGATTTTTTGTCTTCAATGTGTTGTGTGACCTATCAGTCATCTTAAAGCTATAGTTGACATGTTTTCAGGATGGAGAAGACTTGATGGATGAGAGCGTCCTCAAGTTCTACACTCAGCAGTGGGAAGACTATCGATTTTCTAGCAAAGTGCTGAATGGGATCTGCGCCTACCTCAACCGACACTGGGTCCGCCGTGAGTGTGACGAAGGACGGAAAGGAATCTATGAGATCTATTCAGTAAGGACCTTTGAAACCTTCCAAGTGTGCATTTTCTTAAAGCTGTATCACCTTCTCGTAACAGGATCTAGACAAGTATTAAACACTTCAGAATGGGAGATGAATTTCCTTTGTTTCCCTCAATCAGTAAGTGGCCCTTGAGTGCTCTGTGGCAAGGAAAGGAGGCAGATGCGTGGATTGGGGCTCTGACCGTCAACTGGCACCTCTGCGTTGACCTCCTTTGTTATTTGACCCAAGGCAAGGGTAGCCACTGTCACTTAGGCCTGCGCTGCCTCCTCGGTCCCGAGGGCACACCAGGACGTGGCCTGGGCTGAGGCTCAGGCCTCAGTACGGCCAGTGTCCCCCTTCACGGCCTGGGACCTTGGGGAGTGGCTATAACTGATACTCTGTCCTACCCTCCCGCCTTACAGCAACAGCAGCGGCAGTGACAGGGTTTGACGTTGAGACTTTTTTTTATTGGGGTGCATGGAAGTACGTTGGAAGTGAAAAAGCTTCATCTTTGGTCTTACAGACCAAGTGAATATGCTATAGGAAAAATGTGTTAATCTCAGAGAAAAATTTCTAAGATAAACAAAATTCATTTTTGAGGAAATATATACATTTATAAATAAATCATTGCAGTCCATTTTCTCAGTTTAAAAAGACCACATCTCTGTGCTCTTAGATATTTTCAATCAGCTTTATTGCGGAATAATTTGTGTACAGTAAACTGCATCCATTTGAAGTGTACACTTTGACACGTTTACTGTCGTAGACACTCACGAAATAGCCACCGCAGTTGAGATCTAGAACTTACTAGAGTTTTAGGACCTAGGGAACAAATTTCTAGATCAAATCTGTTGTTGCTGATGAATCTTCTCCTGAAATCCAGAGTTCCACTTTACCTTAAATGTTAAAATGCGTGTGAAGAAACATGGCGGCTTTTATGCCTCTTGAAGTTGTTAACTGGAGAGAGGCTCTCTGATCTCATCACAATGATGGATTGTCACCAGGTTATCACCTGGAAGTGTTGACAAGTAACAGTCTGGGATTGGGTTTTGCTATAACTTCAGTCTTGAAAAAACATAGTGAGAACATAGACATTGCATGCTTTTCCTTTTCTTCCCTCTAGCTTGCGTTGGTGACTTGGAGAGACTGTCTCTTCAGGCCGTTGAATAAACAGGTACCTGCGTGCGTGCGTGTGTGTGTGTGAGAGAGAGAGAGGGAATGCGTGTGAGTATGAGTGTGTGTGTGTGCCTGAGAGTATGTGCGTGAGTGTGCGCATGTTTGCACATGCGTGCATGTGAATGTGTGTGTGTTTTCCTTTTAAATCCCTCAAAAATTTCATTTCTTGGCTTTGTCTTTCTCATTCCTTTGCAGTGTGTCAAAAGTAACTCTTATATTGGGTTGTTTAGTGGATTTAAATGCTTAAGTGATATGTAGTAATATGGTATATACTGTACTGTATAATCTGTGTATCTTGTGTTTTTCTTATATTCTCCTAAAGGTAACAAATGCTGTTTTGAAACTGATCGAGAAGGAAAGGAATGGTGAAACCATCAATACCAGACTGATCAGTGGAGTTGTACAGTCTTATGGTAAACAGCTTCCCTTAGTTTACTCAGAGCTTTCATGTCAAATGGCAATTATAACAATGCTCCAACAGATTCATATTAAACTATTTTACTGTTATCAAGAATATTGTTGGCGTTTACAGAGGTACTTACAATTCTAAGTTAGCATGGTTCTCTTTAATTTTATCCATCCTAAAAGTTGTTTTGATCCTTTGAGGAAATTTTGATGGGATAGACGTTTGAATTATTTTATTTTCCAGTCTCACAGTGAGGTACTAGATCTGTAGTAGCTAGTGGATCTGTAAATAGATAGGTATGTAGAGTATCGTTAATGGAGCTGAATAATAACCAGAAATCTGGTTTTGTTTGAAAAATTGAGATTGTGAAACATGTATTAGAATAATACAATTTTTTAAAAATTAGAGTAACATTGCGTTTCTTTGAAAGTTTAAAATTAGTCATTTTTGTTGTGTTTTCCGTGAAGGTTTACACAGCAGTTTAGGTTCCCGTTCAACACTTTCTACACAGGTTGTTGAGAGACATTGGTTACAGTCTTCACAATGCATGAACATTCTCACTTCCATTCTGCTTGTTCCATTTCCCTTACTGTAGATTCCCTGCCCCCTTATATCCTCATCTTTGTTTTAAAGTAATTGTTATTTTTATTGTTTTTAAACTTTTAGAAATAGGAAAGTTGTCTAAATGATCTTCATGCGCACTTTGAAGGCTGCTTGGCCCTGGGTCAGAATTACTTGCTTTTCTACATCTTGAATTTCTGTTTTCTTTTATTGAAACGATGTAATTTAATGTTAGTGAATAACGGATTTACTTCATGCCCTCCCGTTTCACAGTTACTGTTCAAATGTGCCTTAAACTGAATGCTGCACCCGAGAACTTTCTGTTGAATGCCACACACGATGGTGTGATTGAAATAGAATTCATGTTTATTTCAGTGGAATTGGGACTGAATGAAGATGACGCATTCGCAAAGGGCCCTACGCTAACCGTGTATAAGGAGTCCTTTGAATCTCAGTTTCTGGCTGACACAGAGCGATTTTACACGAGAGAGAGTACTGAATTCTTGCAGCAGAACCCCGTTACAGAATATATGAAAAAGGTAAGCGTGAATGTCTGAGGTCCTTAGAGTACATGCCGGTCGGCCTGGTGGTCGCTGTGCACCGCGGGTGTTGAGTACATGAGCGTGCAGGTCTCTTGATTCCCGGTCACCCTGCGGAGTGTTCACAGGGGTGGCTGCCCCCTGACCTGTGAGGAGAGTGTGGAGCGGCCACAGCTCCGTGTGCCCTGACTGCTAGAGATGCGGTGCAGTAGCGCGATGCCATTTACGTTTTGAATCTCTTCTGGTTCCTGCTGAAATGTCTACCTACAGCCAACGGGAGCCACAGTCTCTTCACCGTGAGAGTTAGTGAGAGAGACGCTTTTTAAGAAATAAATGTTCACAGGTTGCAAACTTCAAGCTTTTGCTTTTATCCTTCTAAAATGCCGTCTGAGGATCTAGCTATAACAGCTTCAGGTTGTGATAGAGCAGAATCTTTCTGAAACCAGGGTGTCCTGGGGCCTTGGGTGTGGGAGGGGCCCGGGACTGCTCTGCACGCTCTAATTCCTTGTCGGGTGTGCGAGGCTCCTCTGAGGGGTGACCTAGGTCAGGGTCGGCACTTTGTGTAAAGGGCAGGCAGTGGGTGTTGTTGCTAGGCGGGCTCTGTGGCCTCCATGACAGCTGCTCAGCTCGGCCGCTGTAACGTGAACGCAGCACAGACACGCAGACAGTGAGCGTCATATGGATGCAGCACAGACGACACACAGACAGTGAGTGTCATGTGAACACAGCACGACACGCAGACAGTGAGTGTAATGTGGACACAGCACAGACGACACGCAGACAGTGAGAGTCATGTGAACACAGCACAGATGGCACGCAGACAGTGAGTGTCGTGGATGCAGCAGACGCAGTGAGCATCATGTGGATACAGCACAGATGACATGCAGACAGAATCGTGAACACAGCAGATGACATGCAGACAGTGAGCGTCATGTGGACAGCACAGATGACACGCAGACAGTGAGCGTCATGTGGACA